CGCCGTTCCGGAAACTGAAACGCCAACAGGAGGCACAGAAATACGAGGAACAGAAGAAATTCAAGAAGGACTCCAGACCGGAGGACGTCAAGACCAGCCGTCCCAGGCAGAAACGCAAAGGCCAACAACCAGACGATTACTCCGTCAAGAGGCCAGCATGTAGAGGACGCAAAAGAAAGAGCAACGGGGACGACACTCGGAGATCAATAAGGAGAAGATTGACATCCATGACACCTCTAACTTGGGATCAATTTTGTCAAAAACGGATGACGGAGTTTCAAGCATCGAAAACTCAAAGATAAGTTAAAACCTTCTATAATTTTTTTTTCTCTTTTGTTCCGAAATGTTATGCATAAGTACGAAGTTCTATGTTTTGACGAAAGTCAATATGTCTCGGTTGAGACTTAGTTTTGTTTTACTTTATTTAGCTAAGGCAAAAGTATTATTTTCTTTAAGTGTAAAAGCTAAAAACAAGCATTTTCTGTTGGTCGAAAGACTAATTCTGTTATGTTAAAGCCAAAATTTGGCCGAGCCGGAGATAAAAATAACTTCGTATTCTTGTACTAATAAGAATTTTAGTTTCAGTGCCGCCAGCTTGGCGAAGAATGAGTAAAGTAAAAATTTATTTTCTCTTATTCATTTTATGGTAAATTGTAAAAAGCATATGTATTAAACTTTTGTAAATGTATGTAAATACTTGCATGTTATGTAAAAGTAGAATTTAGTCTAGAAGCATAAAATTGTAGATGCTAAAAGTGAATGCTTAAAAGCAATGAAGTCAAAATTTAAGTATTAAACTGTAAAGTCATGCTTTAGAGCGAAAGCCTGCATGTTTAAAGATGAATGAGGGGGAAGTTAGAATGAATGTGTTTTGTAGGGTTCTCCACCTACATTTGAATTTTTAAGAATATTAAAGTAGCTCATTGAGTTGTAGAATGTCGAGTAAGGTGTGTCTATTTGGTTGTTGAATTCTAACAAATCATGGTGGTTAGGGGAAGTGTTGTAAGACTAAAACACGAATATTCCCGTTTGACACCACACACGGTGGAGAGCCAGGGTAAAGTTAAATTAATGCTTGAAAAATTGAATGAATGTGAAGTAAGCAATAACTAAGAAAAACGAAACGTTTAAAAACAAAAATTTATTGTGTCAAGAAAGTGTAAATTATAATGTATGTAGAAAGATACTGATACTTATTCCTTCCAGATGCTGGAAGGAAAGACCAAGATTGATTGATGAAGTCCAGGAAAAGTTGCTGTAAGAAGAAAGCTTTGTAACGACTAACAGAATTTTAATATATAATTGTTACATAAGATTTTTTTTGTGTAAACGAGGCTTTCGCCAGTTAGTTCAGAATTAGATAAACTTACAACAGGTCGTTTGTAGGACCTGCTTCCAAGTTTTCCAAATTCTGGCAGCGGCAAATGTAGGGTTTATATTTATTTTAACTAACATTTATTTTAAGTTTAAACTATCTTTCCTGTCAAGCCTTACTTTCCCCTGGAACTGCCAATGCCAGAATATGTAAATTTGAGTAGAACGCGCAAGCATTCAAATTATCAGCGGAAGTAGTATGATTTAAATAGAAGGAAACGAGTTCGGTGAGAGAGAGTTATTCTTACTTAGCGAGCGCGGAGGTAGTTAAATCGAGAATTGAAGAACCCCGCGTTGCGGCCTATGTGCTTGGCGGGAAGTAGTTGCAATTGTTCCAGTGAGCTTCAAGTCTGCTGAATTAGCAGCGGTATTTGTAAAACGCGGTGAGTTAGTTAGTTATTTTAGAGAGCCTCGTAGTTAGAATATTGTCTTTACTTTCTTTTCAGGTTATTATTTTTATTTGACTGCCGAGTTGGCACAGTCTGTAAGCGTCAAGAGGACGCAATTGTAATTTATTACGTTGAATAAAAAGGGACTTAAACCCTTTATAAGACTCTGTGGTTTATACAAGCTTTCACAGTCACCTCTTGGTTGCGTGCTAAGTTAGAGGCGCGCAACGTTATAATGTAGAAGATGGATTCATCGCCACGTCTTCCAATTATGTTCCAGTCTCTATGTTCCCGACCTCTTAGGTATTGACAGACGCTTGTTAAAAGAGACATACGAGTGGGACATATACTGCGCAGTTTCATATCCAACAATGGCCGCTGACTTGTGCGTTGAGAAACACTTGCACTTTGACCTGCAATGTATTGGGCTCTCCAGCTGAGCGACTGTCTGACGTCGATTTTGCTGTACTAAGTGGGACACTCTCCGACGTCCATTTTCTTGACGCGTGGACGTCCAACAACTCGGCGTCTACTGTTGGTTTCACCGTCATTTATTCACTTTGCATAAATACAAACAATGTCAGACCGTTAACAACCTACCAGTCGTACAATTTCGGCTATATTCGTTCCGAGTCTTCGGACCGTTACAATCTACCGTCTATCAAATTCGTTGAGATCAGTGGCCTTTCCCATCACTCGCAAAAGTGCAAGAATGATTTCTTACCTTCTCCAGCAGCAGTTAAATAGCATTTCCATTTGACCACGTGCCTTCCAGGTCATCCAGATTAGTTTTATTGAAAAATGTGGGGATTGTCATAAAGTTTCGGCTAGTCAGTGTATACATAATTTTATGATAAAGTGTAATAAATAGCTATTATTGCATAACAATTATTTAATTATTATATTTTATTCTATAATGCACATTACTGTATTATCATCACAATGAATTCTAATATACTAATTGTTATAACTGACTATAATAATTTTACGATAATAATAGTTATAATTTTACTATAATAGTTATACATTTCTTTTATCTTTGAGCTAAATTGCATTTATATTAATACACACTGAAAAAAAATTCTTAATAATTAGTTACGATAATTATACGATAATAAATTATTATTACAGTTATTTCATCAATTATGATAATTATATTATAATAAATAATATAATATTTCTTTTTGATTTTTGTCCTAAAATTTATATGCATACTATACATATATTATATATATTTACTGTACATATACTATATACATTTGGAAAGAAACAAATTCAGAAAAAAAGAACTGGAACAATTTTTATATAAAAGATCATAGTATTGGCAAATGTGACTTTAATTAAATTACTGTCAGAGAAGATCCCGCTCAGATGGCGTAGAAATCTGTCGACCTTTTTCCCTCAACTACAAAAAGGCTTGTGCTAAAATACAGGGTGATTATAATTAAAGTTGCGATTTCAAAGCGCTCTAACTTTAAAACTGCTTGTCAGAATGACTTGATCTTTTACTAAAATAATAGTAAGGCAATGGAATTTTGTTTGGAGAAGGAAAAAATAGTTCCAAAGTATACCGATAGATGGTGCTGTCAGGATTCACATTACTATTGGTATGCAAATTACTAAGACGTAACATGCGCACTGCAGACAAGGCTAAGATAAATATGTAAAGCACTAATAATATTTTGCCGGAGTGCTTCAAAAAATCATGACTCTGAAGAAGAAGGATCGTGCTCTTCTCGTGAAGCTTTTGTTTCAGAATGGTGACTATCAGCTATCAGGAAGTTCCGGACATTAAAAAGCATAAAATCCGGCCCAATGACCACATATGGCCTGCTGAAAATGATAGATAAATTTAATCCTGCTGACGTGGAAACACGACGCACAGTCGGTATAGTGGTCATGGAAGTTGACTGCGATGCCGAAGAGCCTGGGTTCGAATCCCGGAGAAGGCACGGTTGTAACTGTCCGTCCCCTCATAGGAAAGGCGATGGTGGCCTATTTATTAGGTGCCTCCATAATAAAGAGACCACCACATCCGCCCTTGTATAGATTAATGGGCTGGATTACATTTGTAATTGTTCAGAATCTGCCATTGGAAACAAAACAAATAATAATTTAAAAAAAAAAAAAAAACTGGAAACTCGTAAATCGTTTGTACTACAATTTTCTTGCCCGGATGGAGGTGGATAATGAATGACCTTGGAACATTCTGTTGTCTGAAGAAGCTCATTTCTATTCACAAGGTTCTGTAAATACGCAAATTGGCAGGATATAGGCGACCGAGAAACCGTTCTCGCTACAAACATTACCTCTATACTGTGTGGTGCGGAATAACGGCAGCGTTTGTCTTCGGTCCGGTCTTCTTCGAGGACTTTTGCGTAACCATGTCCTTTCGGAACTTCAACAACGTCAATATGTGGATCGCACAATATTCATGCAAGATGGCGCTCCTCCACATATTGCTACTCGTGTGAAGCAGCTGCTGATCGCTCATTTCGGAGATAATGGAATCATAAGCCGCCATTTTCCAACAGCGTGGCCACCACGCTCTCCCAACTTAAAACCCCGTGACTTTTGGATTTGGAGATATCTGAAGAATATTATTTACAGTGGGCGGATTGCAAATCTGGCTGACTTGGAACATGCAGATTTGCGTTTCAAGCAGCGGAACAAGGCGGACAGTATATCGAACAACTTATGCGTTAATCATCCTTAAGGTCTTTGTTTCGTGAAGCTTCTCTTGTCGCTATCTCTGTTTTCTCTATAAATACGTAGTCTTGTCTTTTCGTCAATAAAATTCTCGTAAACCTTGGGAGTCTTTATTTCCTTTCGCCTATACATCCACAACAACAATGTGAACACTGATAGCGCCATCAACCGACAAATTTTGGAACTATTTTTTTTTCTTCTCCAAACAAAATTTCATTACCTCAGGATTGTTCTGGTAAAATATCAAGTCATTCTGACCTGTAGTTTTAAAGTTAGAGCGTTTTGAAATCGCAACTTTAATTATAATCACCCTGTATAAATACTGGTATACTTGATATAGAGAATATAGATGATACAGGGAATTTATAAATGACACAAGTTACGAAAGTGTTACAGTAATATATTTAGTGTAATAATTTTGCATTAATTTAAAACAAACGAAGTTAATAATGTAAACTCATTCACGAGTGTTATTTTTGAGTAGTAAAAAATAAAAATTTATGGAGTAGTAATTATTTTCTTTCTTACCTCTTCTTCTCCTTCCAACTTGAACTTGTTTGATTTTACAGTCTTCAAGTTAGCACGAAAATCGATTTCATTGGTTTTAGCTATCATTTTTAGTTTTTCAAATCTGAAAACAGAGTAATGAGTAATTGAAAAATGGTAAATAAGGAAAAAATATGTTAATTATTAATTTCCCTAGTTGCTTGCATTTGTTTACAAATTTCTTGATAGAAATGAAATTCGTCGTGCTATGCGATAAATGCTGTAATAACTATTAGAAAAACCAAAATGAATCAAAATGATATCCGGTATTGTGTACTATTACAATATAATGAAGAAGGTTATGGTAACATAGTTAAAATTAATAAGAGTTTAGAAGAAACTCTAGAAATGTTTTACAGGCCTCATAATTTACCGACGTTTTCGCCCTTTTCGATACAGCAATTTAGCAGCCTAGTTCGGCATGCATTAGCTCTGTCTTTGTAATCTGAACTATTAAATAATCTTCAGTAATGTGTTGGTATAATTTCTTGGATATAGCGGCTAAAAAGTAGATTCTTTAACCAACGTATGAAAAGGAAAAGATTATGCGGTGTTGAGTCCGGTGGTCGAAGCGGCCAAAAGTGTGGTCAACTTTCGGTGGCTGTATAGAGTTCTGTACGGACTATCGTTTGAAAAGGAGTGGGTCTTCATCTAATTTCTGTTGATATTTGATGGAATTGAAAAGAAGTATTACGAAGGTAATTGCTCGTGTGGACTAAGCTATTTGGTGAAACTAAAGTGGGCGGATTTGGATTACAGGGCACACATATGCCTGTTATTGACGGTAAACACATCGAGAAAGTGTCATGTATGAAAACAAATTATTTTTTTCTAGTATTCTTAATTATGTTGGTACGTTTTGGTTATTGGCGGTTACTGTAAAAGAAAATAGTCACGCTCAAACTGCGTAGCGTTCGGGGAGGGGAAACAACTAAAAATATAGCAAATAAAATTACAAATATGTTGCAAAGGAAAGTAAAATGTAATAAATTAACTCTTGTACTTATTTCTTGTACACTGTTTCTCCCATACGTTTATTTCTATATAGCTATATAGCTTTTAGTCGCCTTTTTGGGTATAGTTTCTACAATTGCTGTCAGTATGGCTACAAAAGAATTTTTTTTCAGTGCAATGTCATCAAAAAATTCTTCTAGGTGCGACTTAAAGAAAATAATATAAAAATAAAATATACTTTACTTTGGGAAAGAATATGAAAAAATAAACATAAAATACATAAATTAATAAAACATCTGGAGATGCGACATTAAAAGTTTGAGGAAGAAGAAAAGCAGATGTGTTGTAAACTGATTTCATGGTTTCCGCCTATCATTTATAAGAGCGTTACGGTTAATTTAATCTTGGGTAGAAAAACTCTACTCCATTAAATGGTGTAAGAAGCAGTTAAAAGTGGATGAAAGATTTGTTATCTGGCATAGTTTATACTACCAGCGCGAAGTGTTGAGTAGGTTTGGTTTTCGGTCAAGGAACAATTTTAGTGATTGAATAGTGTAGGCAGCTATTTGCTTTCACATTGGCGGCTATAACACAAAAATACCATTATATTACCATACACGTTTCAATAATGATACAAGGGTATGGTGATAGCCCGGGGAATGTTAAAACTTACACTCTGCACAATTTTCGACTGGTTATAGAATTCTAAACAAAACATCGGCTTATTATTGAATGGTATGTATTCTACTTTAAAATTTTTTTTGATACTCTGGTCGTCAGAATAGACAATGTACACAAATAAAACTTAACTGTTATTAAAAATGATTAAAAAGTTTGTCCGAAAGCATTATTTGACATAAATCACTATGTTTGCCAGTTAGTTAATCTCAAAATATTAAAGTCAACTTTAAAAAATTTTTTAAATGGTTGGAAATAGTATACCTCGTTTTTCAACAAATCTTTTTTTTTAATTTGAGTGTATGATTCCCTCGGACAAGAATACACACCTCACATCTTTATTTTGTAACATTTACCAAACTGTTGATCAAGTCTTGCCGAACTGCTCGTCACTCTTCTGAAAGTGCACTTCTCAGATTCTGGATGGTAACAAAGACTTTAGAATTCTACAGTTTGGTGGCCCTAAGTCAAACCGAGCATGTGTAAGATGCATTATCCTACACATGCTTGGTTTGGCTTAGGTCAGAGGAGTAAGGTGGCTTATGTAATCTAGTGTTATCTTTCTTCTATTTGCAAATATTCCAACGCCAGAGATGCTCGATGCAGATGAATATTGTCGACCACAAGCAAAAACTCTGGGTCAACAGAACTTCTAAACGGTCTCACATGGAGTTTCAAAGCCTCATCCATATAGCTGCGATTGGTTGCAGAACCTTGATAAAAAATATATAGCTCGATATGGTCATTTTTATTGGTTCTATCCTAAATCATGAAACCGCTTCCATAGAAACGGTATTTTTGATGAAGGAAAGTTGGGTATTCCTCGATCACTCCAGATCTAAACACATCTGGAATCACAATTCAGGATATATATGGACTCTTAATCAAATAGTACACGGTCCCATTCTTCTTGGTGCCACTAAACATAATGACGACACCGTTTTAAACTTAAGGAATATTAGGATTAGAATTATTTAGTTTGCGGTAAAGCACACGAGGGCTCTGTGCTTATGAAAAGGAATGTCTTTGTGGAGGACTTTATAAAAGAAACTGTTACACATGAGGAAAACCATGAGAACTCCCTTGCGGTCAGCCTGTTAGCCGGAATTGAAATCCAGGTCGAAGTACCAGTGTTCTGCGCTTTACGAAAGGCCAGTTGTGGGCCATTGTTTGTGGTGGAGAGTGAAACATAAATCATTATTTTTTTCGCAAGAAGCTCAACCTTGTGAGACCTTCATGCAGTACTAGGAAGACTGATTCGAGTTCCTGTGGCAGACTGATGATCTGAAACAGTTCTCTTGAAATCGCTTTACGGGTTCTTTGAGCAGACAAAATGACAGGAAACGGTTTCTATATACAATTACTGCTACTAGTAGCCCTTAACCATGCAGTCTATTAACAGATTCGTTGCTCAAAATGTGGTTCCAAGTTTGATGCTTTGAGAGATATGCAGATCTTTAGCGACTTCCATTTATGTTTGTCCTTTTCTCGAATATGCCAATTAATTGTCACTTTTTCATTCGCTTATATGAAGACTTCAATCATAAGTAATTAATACCTATCACTAGCAGAAAACATAGTAGTGTTAAACAACACTATGCACAGTAATTTCAGCACTTGTCCATTGTCAGTCGCCTAATTGCATATTTCGTTGGTAACATACGCGTAGAAGTCCAGTTTTGAGTACATTTGCAGATAATTAACATAAATAATTTCAGCATTGGACCTTGAGTGAAAATTTTAATCACTGAATCACTTAGTATATGTTTTCAGATTATCCTTTAATTTTGACGAGAGATGTAAAATAAGAGACCTATTTATGATTTTTACCACCAAACACTGTCACCCACTAGAAATTGCAATCTAAGATACATTTGAAACAGGACGCTGGCTCCTCGATATTAAATTTTATGAAAAATGCATGTTTTCTTTTCTCTTTCCCCAACCTTCCGCTTACGCAAAACATTCACAGAGCAAATAAAATACCGATTCTCACGTAGAGCTTAAAACCTGCATTAAATTCTTAGTTTAACGAAGTTTTCCTAGATATAAACCTTTTGAGACTTTTAACGTTTTTATTCTTCAACCTGTAAATTGATTCTACTTTTGGGTGTTATTGATATCAGTGCTATGCCTGAGATTTGTACAGTGAAAATAAATGATTAATTTTTAGTTACTTTTCTCAGAAGTCCAAAGATTCGTTTGCTTTTTTGTTTCCTAAATATGGTTTTTTCGGAGATTTAATAATAACAATGTTCAAGAAATAGGAGTTTATGGCAAATTTAGATGGTTGCAAAAAGCGCAAAGCGGTCTGCCTTCCAGCTTGAAATTTTCTCTATTTTTTCTTTAGTGTAATTAATCGGTAGGATATCTCTAGTGGGAGCCGAAGCTTATCCTCGCTCCTGATATCAAGTAAACTCATTTATTTATTAAATAAACTTTCTGTGCAATCTTATGTACATTTTTATTTAAAGTTCTTAAATTATTCAAGCTGTTTTCAATAAATCCCAGATGAGCTGAAAGCGCGAAGAAAAATAAATTCGACCAGTAACCCGAAAACAAAGTACCTCTAATTTTTCCAAAATCAATAATTTATGTGTCCACCTCTAGCTGCTTATGTGTCCACCTCTAGCTGCGATACACTGGCGGCAGCGACTTCCATGCTGTAAATTAAGTTGTTGGTCGGCAAAATGGGAAGCAACGACCAGACACGGAGTAATCCTTGTTCAAGCTCATCTAACGACCTTGGAGGAGAACGTAAAGCAGCAACCTGTCTCCCAAGGTAGCTCTAAAGATGCTCTATCGGATTTAGCTCTGGGAATTGAACTGGCCATTCCATCCGCTCCATACGGTGACCCTCAAGATATTCTGCAGCAACACGAGTTCGGTGAGGTCGCGCATTGTCGTCCAACAGAAGAAATCCAGGACCTTTTGGTAGCGGCGGATGAGCGGACATATTGATCAAGTATCTCGTCTCGATATATCACACCGGTCAAAGTTCCTCCATGGAACACATGCATATTAGTGTGACCACCGAGAGAGATCCCAGCTCAAACAATTATTCCACCTCCTCTGTAACTATGTCTTTCCGCAACGTGGGATGTTTCTATCTGGTGCGTTGTTCCCTCCAAATCAGTTAACGACCTGAATCACTCTCCAGTGTGAACCTGGACTCGTCTGTGAAGAGAACAGACGCCCGTTGTTGACTGGTCCAGGAGACGTGTTCTCTTGCCTAACATAAAACGGGTACCTCTGTGTCCTCGGATCAAAAGAACGCAAACAACTGGTCGTCTTGCATACAGACCTGTATTGTTCAGGCGTCTGCGCACTGTAGTAGCTGAGATTCTTGTTCCTGTTAATCCTTGTTCTTGTCCTTGTTGTAAATGATCTGCCATGAGCTGAGGCACAGTAATGTTACTCCTCCTTCGGGCCAAAAGAACTACATAACGATCTTCCGCAGGTATCGTAACTCTAGGTCTGCCTGGAATATGTCTTCCAGGCACAGAATCTTCTTATTCAAACTGATTCAATAGTTGGTAGACTGCAATACGAGAGGCATTGAGACGTTTAGCAGCATCAGCTTGTGACATCCCCATTTCCATCCATACAATCGCCCGCCACCTCAACGAATCGGGCAAACGACTTCTCCTGGACATTGATAGACTCTCCTGAATATTGTTAACGAAACTGCTAATAACAATTGAAGATCAGCACTCGTGAACAAAACTTTCAAATTTTGCCTTTTTTTCCCCCAACTCCTATATAAGTATTCCTTTTTATAAATAAAAGTGGTAGCTGTTGTTTTTGCATGCATTTTCTAAAACGTCGCCATGCATATAAACGGTGAATTTAAATGTTACTGACATTTTTGTAATGGTAGAGTCTTCAAAAATATGCTTTTCCTTAACTTTGGCATGCAGTATATTTTAATTCATGCCTTTGCATTCGTAATTTCATACCCCCTTCTTTAAACTGATAGTCTTTTTTTGATTTGTGCTTTGTGAAGCAGATTAATTTTTGTTGAATTAACTAAGGTATTTCTTCGAGTCTAAGGGTAATAATTTTTGTCGAGCTATAAATCGGAGCTCATTTTACAATGGATGGTGCCTTACGAAATCGTAGATTTTTAGGAATTACTAATAACTCCTCATAATGTAATTTTACAAAATAATAATTTCAATAGATATACTGTTGACTATTTATAAATTCAGTTAATATAATTTATATATTCAGTTAATATAAGTCAGTTATTGAAAAAAATACTTGCTGAATGTATTTGAAAGTTTCGTTTCATTTTTCTTTATTAGCTTTGATTTTTAAACTTGTGAGTATTTTTTTCCTATTGGGTACTGATATTAAATGACACATCTTAAAATCGAAGAAATACGATCTTTTATTATACTATTACTGCATAAAAAGCGTTGATTGTTTGGCTTTGTAATTTTGTTCGGATACTTTTGCATATACTTTTATAAAAACTTAATTTTTATCATAAAGATTAAAAGCTATATCAGGCTCTTTCCGAATATGTATGCAACAGCTATTACACTATAATTAGGACAGAAAATAATAAATACATATACATATACATGGATTTAGAGTGTTTCATTCAAAACGCTTCTCTGAATTAAAAATGGTAATTAGGAACACTTTGAAAAAAAGAAGTACACTTACTTTCCTTCATATTTTGATACTTTTTTCAAGTTTGGTTTGACACTAGAACAAAGAAATTAAAAGCATAAGTTTATATAGTTTAGGAAGTTTTGCATCATTTGTAAATATTAAAAGTATCGAAAAATAAACTCCTGATATTGAAGTAGCTTTAGTTTATTCAGAAAGCATTTTACACTTAAAATGAAAGTTTTAAATATTAAATAAAGATTTTAAAGATTTTAGCGCAGTATTTAGTTTCAAAACTTTTTATGAATGAAGCAAATGTTTTAAAAATCGAAAAGTCGTGAAAGATTAAGAATTATTCAGATTTAAAAACAAATATACATTTTTGAAGTAACATATTTAGGCTTTCTTTTCAAATCTAATTATAAATTCTAAAGATCAATCAGGTCTAAAAACAGTCTAATGATAATTTTCACACTAATAATAATAGTGACGCATTGTGTTTCATAATAATGATTTCATAATAATAATAGTGATGCTTTATGTAGAGAATAATATATATTTGTATAAAGAGAAATATATGCAATATAACAAGAAGTATTGAAAATATAGAAATGAATTTATCACTGGAAATGTTTAATAAAAGACTGCTATTTTGAGAATAGTAACCGTGAAAAATATTTGTAAAAATTTTATTTCTAAAGTAAACAGAAAGGGAAAAAGAAGCTATTTGGAGAATGAAATAGAAGTATAAAATTGTAAGTGCTTTTCAAATTTCTAATATTTTAATATTGCTGAAGATTCGAAACATACTACGGACACATTTATTTCCTCAGTATATGAAGAGTACCGAAATTAAGAGATTTTCGTAATATTGCCGACTGATTCTTTCGCTAAATGTGTTCTGTAGAAAATAGTAATTTAACTTTCCTATGTCAGTGATGAATGTTTTACTGACTTAAGGCGAGACGTATACGATGGTTGGATACTGAAACTGAAACATTTGGCAAATATAGCACTCCATATTTGAAGCCAGAGTGTGTAATTCCTTTGAGAAACTCTAAATGATTTCGAATTTTCATCAATAACAGCAGCGAGAATTTTTAGCGCTATTGAGGGTATTGAATATAGTAAATATATGGGGATATATAAAAGTTCGAAAGAGGACACACAGTTAATGCTCATTTGCTACTAGATCTCTTACAAAGACAGCTGATTTTTTTTATACATACAGACATAAATACATTACATTTGATTTAATACAGTACCCAGACTCATATCTGCGTGACTAGATAAGAGAAGAAATTTCTCAGTCGAAGTATTAGCCGAGGTAAGAGGAAATAACTTGAAAAGGGTGCTGGAATGTCAATAACAAGCGCAACCAAGAAACATGAAGCAGTGACTACCTAGATTATGGGATAACTTAACATTATCCTGAATTCACCTAGTTTTGCAAAAAATGCCAGTCAATATCATCCCAGGGTTAAGATTCAATGTCGGAAAACCACGACAAAACCATTCATAACCACGCTAAGAACTATTTTCCACCACGCTAAGAACTCTAAAAACTATAAGCTAAGAATTATTTTCAGTGGTGGTAGGAGCTAAGAACTTGGGCATTACACAATGAAAAATATCTGTTTTTCAGTAATAAGTCAAATTTCAGAGCATCTCTAAATTCTGTGAAAGTTTGTATCTGGAGAACTTCTTCACATGTACATAATCCGAACTGTTTCATGCTCTTATCGTGAAGTATGGTGGTGGATTGGAGAAGGTGCGGGATGTTGTACCGTACACGTATCTGAACAGTTACACCGCTGTCAAGAACTTCAAATGGATCAAGTCCGCCTAGTTATTCAAAGTAAAGCATGGAGATAGAGCGATGACGCTTTGAGCCGCAGTATCGTAAACATCTCTGAGATTAATAATTATTCTTGACTCTCACATTGTTATCAGGCGCTATACATGGACCAAGGCTACCCAACTATTCAAATTGTAGATCAAAAAGAATGTGCCATGTATGAGAATGACAAGGCAGCAGTTATATAGCAAAACTGTTGACAGAAAGGTTTGAAGAGCATGAAAGTAAACTTGAACACAATCCATATCATGCATAATCCTTTCCCCTAATTTCAACGCGGTTGAATTTATGTGGAGTACGGTATAGAACAGAATTTTAAGAAACGGAAGAACTGGAAAAAATGCCTGCGATGATTGAATAAAATTTATATCGATCATTCCCATAAAGAGTCGTTGGAGAGTTGACCTCCTGCAGATGGCCTCCCTCCATTTAATAAAATATTGCATCGTAGATGCAGGTAATTCAGTTTTATTGTATAACACCTGCATCTTTGCATTTTTTAGTCAATGTTTAAGGATACATCTGAAATGAATCAGCCAGTTCGGCCTGGGGATTCAGTTTCCGCTGTGCTTGCTAACTCTCATGACTAACTCTATGATATGTTATGTGTTTTTCACTCTGTCATTTCATTCAGTGAAAGTAGCATTTAAGTGATAAAAATGGTACAAATCGGGCATATGGAAAACCGTAACGTATGTATGTGAGAATCCACGTCTTTAATTTTAACATAACCAGTTTTAAAGTTTAAAAATTTCTATTTGCAAACTTTAAAACAAAATTATTGAAATAATAACAATAGTTTCTGTTCTAGCAATTGTATTGATCTGATAGCACTAAAGTTAATAAAACGGATTATAATTTTATTTATTATCTTAGTTGTTCAAGATTTTAAATTCATTTAAACGTTAAAAAATTATCGAAATGAAAGACGAAACTTTTAAAACTCTCAGTCTAATGACACAGAAATTTAAAACTGCAATATTTTCATGTCTAGATCAAGCGAAACTATTTGATGATATCAATAATAAATCTTCTGTCTATTATAAATAAGAAAAATAATAATTTCCTTTCTAAAAACGAAACATAAATAACGAAAATAATAATATCTTCTGATATTAATTATATTCATACGAAAAGGTTTTCAGATGTTAGAATTTTTTTATTTTTTCATCGTTCCTCAATAAATTTACAAAACTGTTTTTCATTAACGATAGAAATTTTAAAAAATAATGCTAAAATACGCAGCAAGTGTAAAGAACTCTCTTATTGTTATTAATTAATTAGCTCTTTTCAAAAAGCAATAACTGTATGTGGTCGCTCTTGGATTATTGTACAAATTATTTTTTTCGTGTGAGAGCTCGTTTTTCTGCAGTGTTTTCCACATATCAGCAAGAAAGCGAATTTTGGTGCCTTTCAGCATCGTATTGAACACTTTAACACTTTGAAAAGAAAGGTAACGCTTTAAAAAGAATCGTACTTACAATTTTCCACGTAAATCGTTAACTTGAATTGTCAACTCATTAATCTGTAATTAAGAAAAAAGGAATTAAAAATTGCCCACAACTATTTACCAAGCATAATTTCATGAAATTTATAATTACCAAAAAGTCTTTCTGTCCAACTTCGTATTCTAAGTCATATTTTGCTTCCTCCAATTGAACTATTCGTTTATGGTATTCTTTACACACAGCTTGCAGAGTTGCTATTAAATGAAGAAATGGAAAGGTGATTGACACAGAACCAAACATTAACTAATCCCACAGTATTATAATTTAAAATTACATTTGAACTACAAGAAGGAAATCAAAATGATTTTGAACTCTTGCTTATAATTGTATGCTAATAGATACAAATGCATTTTGTAAAAACAATTATGCGGTTTAATGCAGTTAAGCAAATGCAATTAATCGTTTTAATGCATTAAATGCACTAATGCATTTAGTAAGTAAGAGCACTTTATAAGTCGGTAATTCAATTCCGTTGTAAGAATTGTCAAAATAATGTCTTTGTTGATAGTAATTTTTTGTTCATAACTTAAGAAATTGCGTCAATCTGGGCATACACGATTTGAGGTACATGGGTTGATTCAGCGCATAAGCCTAACAGCCCAAAAAATACAAATTCTGGTTTAAATGTTAAGTTTTTCAAATTCTGTGTTAATGAGCAAGGGATTCAAGATAACAAGAATCTTTTTATCTTACGATGATTCAAAAACTGCTGTTAGGTCTGCATACGAAAAAGAAGTTTTATTATGTGCTCTGACGAAGAAGTTTCTATTATGTGCTCTGACGTCACAGAATAATACGAGTGATTCTTATAAGAAGAATAATTAATTCTTATAAGATTCACGAGAATTCTTATAAGGTATTTTCTTCCTCCTTCCAGAAAGCCTTCGTGGTGTAACGGTAGCACATTCGGCGCGTATTCGAGAGGTCTAGCGTAGAGTCCTGGCGAGAGCATTGCACATTTTTCCCGTTCCTGTTTAAAGAACAAAACCCTACTGACTCTACAATAGTCCCCGAGCTGAAAGTTGGTGGACGGTAATTCGCCACCACCAGGATTTGGCGATTGGGTCCCCTCATACCCAGTAGCCCTTTAAAAAAGAGAGTATATAAGGTATTTTTTCCCTCCTTCCAGCATGCTTTCGTGGTGTAATGGTAGCACACTCGGTGCGTATTCGAGAGGTCCCAACCAGGGCATTACGCAATTTTCACATCTCCTGCTTCAAAATAACCTAATGACTCTACACTCTTAGAGAGCGGAAAGTTCCAAAAAACTGCCATCGCCTCCCCCTTTGGGTATTTTTAAATTCCTGGTCATACCATTTGTTTTACACAACTCAGGTCAGACCTTCCGACGGTTTATACACGAAGTTTTATTTGGATTGGATTTTGAGTCCCATCCTTATTAAGTAAGCTAACGAAGAAGAACATGTCAATCATCTCCGTCAAGTATTTGATTGTTTAAAATTAACAAGGACAATTTGCCTTTAAAAACCTAACAAATGCTGACTTAGGAAACCATCCGTTTCCTTTTTAGGTTGTTTGTCACTACCTCAGATGTAAAACCCCTGCCCGAGAAAAGAAAAGAAAAACACTTGTAGACTTCCCCAAACCCACCGTTATAGTCGAGCATAGATGTTCTATAGCCATGATAAATTTCTATCATCTCATCTTACCAAAGGCAGCTGAAACCCAGGCTCCTTTGCACGATCTATTAAAAGATTCAAAGTAAAATTATAAACGCTCCGTTCCTCGGCAAGACCAACTTAATAAGGCCTTTGAAAAGTGTAAGCACGACCCTATTAACGCTGAAACGCTCAGTTCCAAAAGATATGTATTATGGTTGATGCTGCTGACAATTTCTATGGAGCTGTCTTAAACGTTCGACACACTGAAAAACTACATTGGATTTCATTTTTATTGCTCACTCGCAAGTCACAGATGATGAGTTGAAGCTTCTCAGTAAAAACCCAAACCGTTCATTGAAGTTCCGGTCATTACAACTTTTCCCAGATCTTCAAATAATGTGTGACACTTCTAATAAAAAACTTCGACCATACGTACCACTTGACTTTATAACAAATGTTTTTGATTCTTTCCAAAATTTATCGCATCCAGCACTCGGGCTTTCAAAAGGCTCATGAAAGAAAGATTCGTCTGGCCATCCATGCTAGAGGACATTGCCAACTGACTCATTCTTGCATTCCGTATGTCCTAATTTGAGGGTTACCAATATCTGTTCACTTGTATCGATAGATTTACTCGATGGCCTGAAGCTTTTCTCATATTAGACATCTCTACTGAATCTGCGGCTAAAAAATTCGTCTTCAGTTGGATTGTACGATGTGGTGTGCCATCAATCATAAGAGCTGATCAAGGTCGACAATTCCAGTCTCAGCTTTCCTCTTCTGTAACATGTATGCTTGGAGTACGCCGAATTCGCACCGTATCATCCTTCCCCAAATGTCTTGGTGGAACGTTTTCATCGTGATCTAAAAGCAGCCCTAAAGTGTCATGAGAATACTTGTTGGATTACATCACTTCCTCTTGTGCTTCTCGTTCTATGTTCTTCCTTCAAACAAAGCCTCTAAGGTACATCCGCTGAATTTGTTTACGGCATAACACTTCAACTTACCCTCTGAATTCTTTCAATCATCCTCTGCTACAATCGAAACATCTTCCTTCCTCCAAGCTTTCCAAGAAGCGATGAAAACGCTGTCTCCGACTCCTAGATTATGCCTCATCACAGCAACATCTTCGTGTATCCTGCAGAGCACTTTCACTCATGAGTTTGGCCTTAACGATGCTGGGAAACTCCGCTCACTCCTCCATACGATGGTCCCTTCAAATCTAAACATTTCATTTGCTTCTCCAGATCCTTCTCCTTCGAGCGACCTTCCTCTTTCTTCTAGTGTTCCATCAGCTGTCACACGTTCGGGAAGACTTGTTCGCCTCAACACCAAGTAATTGTGACTACTTTCTTCGTGTTTTCGGCCCCCGAGGAGGAGAAATACTGTAGAGAGGTCTTAGATAGCAGAAAGATTCAAAAGAAGGCGCTAACAGCTTTCCCCTCTCGGATGAATTTCCCTTCTCGAAGATGAATTTAAGACTTTAATATGGTAGTCTCTTTCTGGCAACCATCGGTGAAGCAGCGAAGTGATCTCGGTCATATCGCGTGATACTGGTTTACCAACTAGCATACTTGCTACATTCTGGAATTCTGCCTATGCTAATTCTTTGATTGTAATGAATGGCTTACATCTAATACTTACCTTTATTGTTTGAGCATATGTATTAAAATAATATATTTTTCTAATGTAATTAAAGCGATAATTGTAAAACAAGGCATATCATATTCATTTATACGTTAACACATGTCTGTAGGGAATGGTGATTCTAGTCTCGACTAAGGTAAGACGTGAAAGATGTGTAAAACAAGAGGGCGTCCAAATCTATGAGCGTAGATGTGGGACAGAGTGTTGTGATGATATTTTTTATAAGAACTCAAGCTTAGAATGATGATGAGACTCAGTAAAATATTTGAATAATGTAAATGTTTTAATAACTGCCGTACATCAGCGCAAGATGATCCCTGCCTAGGTTACTCTCAGCCCACTAAGTCTTTCCCGTGGTATCGCCATAAACAGTGATTACTGTTATCGAGTTCTCAAATGTGTGCATAACAAAGATGCTTTGATCACAAAAAGAGTTATATTTTTGCAGCTTTTGACTAGTAACGATGACAGGAACCAATAGTTCAGCAACGGCTCCGGCATACTGAGAAATACATTGAGGGATAAAAGTCATATCACTAATTTTCATTGATTCTGTTATTCTGAAAACTCAAAGTTTCCAGTTTGGCTTAAATCCTTTCGTAAATTAAACTTACATTCCTTTCGAAATTGTGATTCCCTTCACTACTTAAAGAAGATAAAATAAACAGTTCACATTTATTAGAGCACTAGAATTCCATACTTATGTTACTGCATATTTTAACAAGAATTTTTAATAAGAAAAATTATTTGCTTTTCTCCTTCCTTTGAATGTAAAGTCGTACACAGTCGTAAGTTTCTCAATAAGAGACTTGGATGCCTTTAATTTCCAGCATTTGGAAGCGCATTGCAATGACGTAATGACTTAATTTTGATGCTTTTTATTTAAGAATACTTAAGATTAATAATTAGCTCGCTTATGAACATTCAATTAAAATATACAAACTAAAGTGTGATTGAAATAAGGTTGTCGGAATTTCGATTCCAAATTATTGATTTAATTCTGAAATGAGGAAAAAGTAATATTAGACACAAGTTTTGAAACCCAAATTAAAATTAATTTAAAAAATAAATTTTGATTTTCGCAGAATCATACACCGACTCATATTATTGCTCTAAACCAAATTTCATTATAGAAAAATTATCATTTTTTTCTCACAATTTTTTTGTATCATACGGTTTTTCGTTTGATAAAAAATTATAAAGAACTGTATATGAAATGTATTACAATTAGCTTTTATTATCGAAGCAACATAGATTATGCAAAATTCAACATTGAAATGGCATTTATTTTAAATAAAAGCTCTATTTATCTCGAAGGAATCTAAGATTTATCTTTTCTTTTCGGAGCAAAAATATTTCACAAAAGTACTTTTCTCCTTGAAAAGGAGACACTTGTTAGATTCTTTTGAAAGGGATAGATGTTTTTCATCTGTATATAAATGTCAGTCTGTGGTAGAATTTGGAGTGATTTTAAAAAGATAACTTTGTGTTTGACCACATATTATAAAAGAAGTATTTTCATAGACGTACCCTCATTTGCATTCTCCACAGTTTTAGGTTCTCCGCATCTTTCGATTATCATTTTCCGCCTTTCTTCGGCTTTCCTTTCTTGCTCTCGCTTCAGTTCTTCGGCAGCTTTTTTTCTCAGAAGAGTCTGCAAAAGATTAAAGAAAAGCAAACCATTAGTGAAAGTAAAGTTGGAAGTTAAGCTATCGATGATCGAATAATGACTTACGTACTCTGAGCTTTTATGCATGCTGAAAACGACGTTGTTAGTTGGAGAATTTCTTGTGTTATTGAAATACGCATGAATGGATATCATTATAATGTAAAACACAAATGAAAAAATCAACTGATTTAGTTTTCAAGCTTGAAATAGCTTGTACCTTTTCAGAACACATGCTTATACAATGGAATTCATCATTTCCTTCACAAAGCTATTCCGTCTTCTTTCATCCCATTAAAAAAAATCTGAAAATTATTTTATCGCCTAAGTGTATGTAAAATTATAATGAAAGATAGGGATTCTCCATTGTTTGCATTTATTAACTTTGTCATCGGAAATATCGCTTTTTTTTTTTTTTTTTTTTTTTTTTTTTTTTTGCTTAAATGTGTATCAGATTACAGAAAGGAAAACTTCCTATTCACTTTAAATAGAAGGGCACGTTTTAAACTTGCTAAACAAGATAAGATAATCAGAATGTTTTCGTATACTCATTTCTGTGACTTCTTCTTACTGGCTGTATTATTAAAAAGAAAGCTCGAGTAAAAAAACGTTGACTAAATTAATTTACATTTCCATACTTTAAGGCTATTCAAGTGCATTTATGGTTTCATGTGCAATTCAAATACGCGGCAACTTTTCTTAGAAAAATGTCTGAAGGCCCGAATGCCATTCTAGCCCAAATGCATTCACACCCTTCTTCCATTCTAGACCAAATGCATTCACGTACGTTTCTATAGTCTTTTACTTACCCACTTTACACTGATACGCGTTTGATAGTCACAAATTAAAAGCAGGTCAGAAATTAGATATAGTAATGACACGAAAATAAATTCAACAACTCAAAATATAACATTAAGTGTTTACTTTTCAGAATTAACCTTTATCTTTATCAAAAATAAATAAATAAATAAATAAAAATAAAATAAAAAAAAACTTGAATGAAAATACAGAAGATGTTCAAAACAAACTTGAGTTAATTTTAGTAAAATAGTATGCTTAATAACTCCTACAATGCATTCTTTTATCATACATACTTCAACCGGAACTTTTCTACTCTATATGCATGAAGATTTCAGTCAATCAAGTGATGTACCTTGATTTCACTAAAGGCCATATGAAAACGCTTCTGCTTTCAAGCACCTAGTGACTGAAACTTAAATGACGTAGCAAAACATACGCGTATCGATACAGTGATATTTAAAATTTTAACGAGGACATACAGTGATAATGTTGTGCTGATATATGCAACGATGAGGAGACTGTCTGACACAATCTACAAAATTCTTTGAGCCCCCAATACGGTATAGTGGTTAGGGAAGTCTACCGATGGGTTTGGGTTCGAATTCCGGAAAATGGATATTTGAAAGTGTATACTGTCTTTGCGGCATGGGGATAGTCTAAATAAATGCGAGCCAAAAGTCCTCACGGCAGGTTGGTGATAGGGGAAGAGTGGTCGGAATTCCTCGGACCCCCTCCTCTCGCGGATAGCTTTCCTTTATAATTGCGGACGAACTGAGAGAAGTCTTACTGTCAGCTGTATGGTGCTTAAGGCTCTTGCCAATGACAGGCGCAATCTTGCTGTCATTGCCACGATGGATTTCGTTGACTTGTTCTGATGTTACTGTCAGACAAGTGAGATAAGTCACAACACAGCAGCAACAGATTCTTTGCTTCAGTGTATAATATTATTTCCGAAATACTACAGAAGCTTGATGTGTGAGATGTAAAATGTTCATAATATTGACCAAATGATCATTGTAAAATGTTCATAAATTCATGAAAATAATCACTGTAATTTTTCCCTCAATGATGGGCTGTAGCCGTTTACAGACGTTGGCCACTACTAAGGTCGGAAGCGGTGGTATCTTTATTAGGGAGGACCCTAGAAGGTGAGCCACCATTGCTACGTATGAAGGGATAGACAAATTAAATCCATGCCTTCTTCGGAATTCGAACCCGGGTCCTACGACACAGCAGTCAGTCACTAACCACGTTCCCATCTGGGTAACTGGGTTCCCATTGTAAAATATTCATAATTTTAACCAAAATATCATTAATCTAACCAAATAAAATTCATTATAAAATGTTAAGCTCTGTTTCAGTAACACTTTAAAATTATTAATGCTTTAAGAAATATCATACTCTAAGTTTCTTCTTTCTTTCAGGTGTCATGAATCCACCTTTTTTGCATTTCTTCGACTTAGTCGATTCTTCTAGTCTCCTACGAACTTCAGCTTTCTTTCGGGCCTTTTCTTCCTGCTTTTTGATTTGTTCCTAAATATATTAGAAAGTTTGCATGTCAGTAAAAACTATTTTACTCTACAAACTCAACAAATGCAAATTAAACGGTTTTAAATTACCCAACCTAAAAGTAATTATATAGGGGTTTTCTGTATCTGGACGCTTATCTTAGGGTCTTACACACCCTAGGAGACTGTAAAGCTTGTTATCGCTTTAGCCTGAAGCAAATGATCAAGTTGATTAAGAGGTTTAAAGAATCTTTTTTATTCAACTCTTAAATGAACAGAAGGCACTACTTGTGCTAACCTCCGCTATTTGCGACCTCCGCTATTTGCGAGTATACAGATGCGAGAACAGAACATAAGATAAAGTGAATTTCAAATGTAGGTAACGTTGTCTGAGACTACGCATAAAATAGACTACTTTAAGTTAGCTCAAGCAAGTTAATGGCGAGTATATTAAATGTCAGTTAGCAAGATGCAAAATCTGGGATAACTTTGGCATAGCTACCAATAGTGTGTAACTGCAAGATGAGGTAGCCAAAAACTCTCTCTAAAGCAGGGGTTCTCAACCGGTGGTACGCAAAGAAGTATTTTTAACTGTTAATTCAAAAATTAAAACCCCAACATCCTGAATGAGTTTTATCTCTAACACTCGAAAATTTATGTGATCTGAGCTTTTATTCAAGAGTGGTGGTAGTAATACTTTGTAGTGGTGGTACTAAAGGTTTTCAATTTTTGTTTAGGTGGTACGCGTTAGTCTAAAGGTTGAAAACCACTGCTTTAAAGCATTCAAATCCTCGGCTTAAATACACAACAAGTAATTTGCATTCTGGTAAAGACTATGGGTAAAAACGTTAAAGGTTAAAATTATAATAATTGGCAAATTAACATAAAATCCTCCAATTATTTCTGCAATAAAATATTTATGAGGGCAATCACTCTACATATTGTGATTGCCCTACAGCCAGCACTCAAACCTATAGTTAGTTGCATCAAGTTTCTTGATGCAACTAACTTTCAAGTTTCTTGATTCTTTAAGTATTAATTAACACCTAGAACGACTTCAAATAGACCTCTGCTCCTGAGGAGTATATTTATTCGAAAATAAGACTCCATCCCCCTCTTACATTGTAGGATAAATCTTAAGAAATAAAATGTCAATGAATATTTGATGAAACCATAATTCTGGTTAGAACTCATTTGTTTCTGATCAGAACGGAAGGAAGCCATAACTTTACATTTAACTATGGCGCAGGAAAAAAAATAGGAAAACTCATGACACACTTTTACATATTGTGTTTTGAAGCATACCAGTAGCCAATAAAGTGAACGCAGGCCTTCAATGAAATCGCTCTCATCTAGACATGGCCATGACAATTAGCGGTAGTTACTCAGTTTATATATGTTACGGTGAAACACCGAAATCTGGAGAATGTCGACTTTCACCGGTGAATGTCAACATTCACATAGTCTCTTGGTGTATGTCCGAAATATTTTCCAAATACTCTTATTTCATACTTACACCGGTCAATGTCGACATTCACAATGTACTAATGGTGAATGTTGAACATATAACAATATTATATTTTCTTCTCCGTAATTCAATGGCGAATAACGCACTTGAGACTTGAAATAAGAACTTAAGAACATAAGAACCTAAAACACACAATACATTCAAAATGAGAAAGGAAAATAATAGAAGTTAAAAACTTACTTAATTATACAGTACATTCTAAATGAGAAAATAAAATAACAGTAATAAAAAACTTACTAAATTATGTGATTCAAATCTTATTTATTGCAACAACTTAAACTATTACGGCACTTTATGACCTCTCTTTTCGACTTTCACCAGAGCATATCTGTGATTGTCGACATACACCGGTGAGGCTCCGAATATACAAGAATGTAATAAAATATTCGGTCTTTCACCGACGGATTTGGTGAATGTTGATATTCTCCGGTGAAAGTCGACATTCTCCAATTTCGGTCTTTCACGGTAACATATATACGGTAATTACTTGCGTGATTTATTTAACATTGAAATAGTGTAATTATTCTATATAGTATGACAATTATACTCCTTTCCGTCTTCTGCAATTTCATTTATTAAAATACCTGGTTGTAAGACGCAACCAGATCTTAGAATAAAGTTGTAGTGTAAGAAGGGGATCTTGTTTTCGAGTGAATATCATAACAGGCACTAAGTTCTTAAAAATTAAAGAGATTGTTATCATTTTGTGATTTGTTTAAATGTGATCTTTCACATTATTTAATAATGTTATTGAAATAGTCACTAAAATTTATAAATGATAAATAATTCTTACCTCTCTTTATTGTACACCGCAAGTACATGGAAAAAAAGAAAAAAAGTAATTATAAGAAACAGACATTTATATACTATATTTATAGCAAGAAGAAAAAAGATACTGATACTGTATACGTAAATTTGACGATAGCATTGACTTTATATTTAGTATTATGCTACGTTCACTTTAATTCTTGAGGTTAATACTTAGTTAAAGTTCTTGAAAATTATACGATACAAGAACTGTTAATAAATTACATACCAGAATTTATGTAAATATTTGATAACAGGTAATTGTACGGTGAAAGTTTACAATTTAAAATAGTTTGTTCAGCTTTATGAGAGAAAATATTTGACAGTTATATTACAAAGAGAAGATTTTGTGATGTTGTGTAGCAAGATTTAAAAGAATTGTGATAATTTTACTCATATTTACTGTAGAAAAGCGGAACACTACTTACAGAGAATCAGCCATTTTACTTTACGTGTTCCTGAAAGAAATAATATCAGTAAATTAATGCTACGCCAATAAATTTTGTATATATGATATAAAATGATCCTTAGAACTAATCAAATGTTAAATTTACTTTGGAATGTTTATATAATGTTCAATAAGGGAAACCAGTTAACTTTATTACAAGTTAAATACACGGGAAAGATCATATTCTTTGGTCAACAGAGATTTCGTCTTCGAAAAAATAAATTTGTTTTCTAATTGCAGATCTCCACTAAGTTATTTGGCATCACCCACAGTTTTTGAGCGACGTCTGCTGTTAATGCTCAATAATTTGCAAATGCTTCGCAATATTTATGAGTATATTGAAGTTCAGGTTATGTACAAAGGTGCACTGAAATTGAGATATTTGTAATGTAAAAATAATTGCTGTTCTCCATGGGATTCATCTGAGCCACACAAAACAATGAGGCACTAAAGAAATTTGAAGATCGAGAACAAGAGATAGGAAAAATCTTCACATCTGAAAACATTGTCTCAAAAACGATCAATATAAATTCCAAGAATGTATAGCATCATCAACAAAGTATTTACAGATCTTGAAAAATATACCTCCATCGACTATACGCTGTGTCTACCCAAGCCATTATCCGGCCTTTATTTTGGCAACCGTAGACATACTTACAAAGAAGTTTTAAATGACACAAAAATTCATCTTTATAAATATTTAAGTTAGAATAATTAATTTTGTATAAATTGAAAATCTAACTTTTTATGTGTTCTCCGGTTTTTGTACTTTGCCCCGGTTTCTGTATATACTATTCAGGAACATTTTGTACTCGTTCTTAATAAATAAATAAACAAATAAATAAAATAACAGCTTGAGGCTTGTGCGACAAAAATGTCTGAAATATTTAGTATTAAGGTTGCGTATTATATTAAGGAGATGTATACAAATTCAAGAGCGAAATATTTGCACGTGTACGTAACTAAAAATAAAATATCAGTTTAAAAAAGGCTTCAGGTGTTAAGAGATTAAATGACGAGCAAATTATTGTCAAAAGTATTGCTTAATTTAATTGTTTTCAAAATGGAAATCTTAATCAAAGAATCTTCTAGAAAGAACTGCCAGACCTGTGTATTCGCATGCAAACAATTCATAATATTATTTGCATTAATAAAAAAGAAAAAAATGTATTTTAAGTATTTTTTTTATTATTAACAGATTATGATTCTGTTAAACTTCATAAGAATATTTATATTTCATAGAATATTTATATTATTTATAGAATATATATATTATTTAAGAACTTCATAAGTCATAAAACTTCATAAGTCATAAAACTTCATAAGAATATTTACAGTATATATTCTGACTTTATAATTTACTAGTGTGAAAATTCTTTCAGCATACCAAATGTAAAGAAATATAAAATAAATGCACTAATAAATCATAAAAAACATAATTAAATGACATTTAAATAGGAAAAGTCAACCTGGAATTTGTTTAATAATTGACTCCTCAATGCAAGTTGAATATGATGTCAAAAATCACTGGTTTTGAAATTAAATAAATACTTAGATCATTTTTGTCATACGCGTTTCAAATTTTTTGTGTTTGAATTATTGTGATGAACACAAAATTTTCCTTTCTTAAGTTTGGTGAAATTTACTAGTCATACCACGAACAGCAAAGAAGAACAAACTCAAATTATAAAAATAAACATCACAAATAACTAAAGGGAAAAAACTAGAAGAAAGTTTGAAATTAAATGTACAGATGACGGAAAGCATATCTGTGCATTTGACTTCAAACGCTCTTCCATAATTATGGAATTCCGCATTTGTGCTTGACATGTTTCAGAAAATCTTATTAAAATGATATTTGTGTTATTTCTCTGCATTATATTCGTTATTATTAATAAAATTAATACTCAGCCATAATTTTTAATTACGCATTTTCCGTTTCAACTTTGTATTAAAAATTTTCAGTATTAAGGTATAACTTTGTTTCTCAGAATTATTCTACTAAATGAACGTTGATGAACCTAGTGAATTGTTAAACGACTTATCGCTGAGTTCAAATAACTAAAGTCGTAGACTCAAGAACGGTTAACTACCGTTTATTTCACTCAAAATAAGTTAAACAGTTGGCCCCTTTCTTGGGCTTGCATCAAAGCCTCCCCTTAGGCTTAAATTCAGAATAAGAAATAAGAACTAAATTAGAACTAATCAAGAGACTTAACCGAAGTGAAACAATTATCTAACGTAGTTGGCCCTTAACTTGAACTAGCCGGAGAGTATCAAAATTCACGCAATATACGAGTGAGCGTAACAGATTCAAGAGAGATTTATCCCGAAGGTAAACAGGTGCTACTTAGGATTCCTAGCTCTCTCTCTCACGAAGTTAGTTGAACCTTCCTTAACTGCTACTTCTAACTCATTTGCATTCAAAGCGATTTTAGAAATTCATTCTAGTAGGGAGTTGTAAGTGGAAGCAAGAATCGATAAGAAAGTACATTGAAATTAAAATAACTGTTATAAAATTAAAATATACCTTAAAACTGCTTGCATTTTATTTTGCTGATCATCAATGAATGACGAGGCCTGAACGAAATCTTAGCTAAAAATTATTGGAGACTGAATAAAGCAGCAACGAAACTGAAAAGTACATGTTAAATATCCCCCCCAAAAGAGTTCTGTAGGGTTCATTTTAGTTTTCTAACCCGTTATTTTAAATTAATTGACTTTCCTATCAAGTCTTATTTCATTTTTCTGCTAAAATGCAAATTTCCAGCAAGCGCGGCACTCAAACTAGGTAGAGAGAACGAAGTGTTTAAAGGAAGCGTTTGGAGGGTGAAATCAGAGAGTGCTTTGCCTGCTTGAAGCCCACGTTGCTAACATTGATTCTCTAGCGATTAGAATTTTGTGGTGTTAAGTTGTTCTTGCTATTAGGCTTGTTTACGCCGACTTTGGTCAGAGCCAGCTTGCTTGATAGATAAACTGTAAAGCCTTTAGGCTATACTTAAACCTCAGTAGTTTTAAGTTTATCCACTACCTTTACATTTAAGCCAAAAGTGTTGGCTTCTGTAAGCAGTAGGTGGCGTGAACTGTTTAACGTTATTTAATAAAGTGTTTTATACACCCTTCTCCTGATTTTGTAGCATCTTAAAAACTCAAGTTTAAAAGCTTGATTCAAATTCATTTATGTTCTTTAAAAGAGTTATTGATAATTCACTAAATAGGTTTTCATCGTCTCGTACATTGTATGTTAGCAAGGAATACACGACGATCCAGTTGAAGACTTTCGACATTTTTAAGGGGACTCATACACCTTAAACCCCTCATGATCTTAGAATATGTGACTGTTGCAAGAATTGAGATATTTTATTTATTTTAAAAGCAATTACTTCCAACTTTTTACAGCTGACTCCATAATATAACTGCTTTGGAAAATAGTAACCAGAAAGTTTGTGTTGCCACAAATATTTTTGTAATTTAATCCTCTTTGTGACAAAAGATTTCGCCATGTTTCCACCTTGCGCGCATGATATTTTAAAAATGGCTAATGGTACATACTTGAAATTTGATGGAATTCTTTATATGGGCACTATTTTCTAACTGAACCAACAATCTGATTAATATTTTAATACTGAAAAATGTTATGGACGAAAACATTACAAATTTTGTTAATAAAATACTTTTATAAACTCAACTCCAAATAAAATAAAAATTTAACATGAAATTTTTAGAATTTTAGGTTCACAGTAGTTTCCAAATGTTATAAAAGCTATATATTAAATATGGAATTAAATTATGAAACAGAATGTTTTAAACTGTGCGCGCAAGTTGGAAACATGACGAAAAATGTTGTCACAAAGCGGATTAAATTATAAAAATATTTGTGGCAACACAAACTTTCTGATTACTATTTTCCAAAGCAGTTATATTATGTAGTCAGCTGTAAAAAGTTGGTAGTAATTGCTTTTAAAATAAATAAGTTGTAGAGATTTCTCACTTCGTAATTCTAAGTTAATGTTGGAAGTGAAGAATCTAAGAACTGATAAGCGAATAATCGTTTGAGTTCGGTGACAAGAAACAACAAGATAGAAGGGTAACTAACCCTTTATTATTCCAATAAGATTGGATAAAATTCCGCCTGGGAGTGTACAAGCAAAGCCCGCACTTGGACTTGAACTTAAAAGACTAAGAAATAAACTAAAACTAAGATTAACTAAAGAAGTATAACCGAAGCTATCAAGGTTCAAATCGAGTTGGCCCCTTAACTTATTTGACTACGAAGCTTAGCAAGGGCCTGCGTACGGAAGAGCGTAATAACAGCTTTGAGAGAGAGTGGCCAAAAAAGCAGACTCGCTTAAATCAGAAACTCTGATTCTTTCCGACTCTGTAAGTAACTTCGTGGTTTAAATACCGCTCCTTCTCATTAAATATTCAGCAAGATTCCAAAACTACGTTCTGGCCGGAAGTAGTAAGTTGAAGTTAAGAATTTGACAGGAAAGCAACTTAAAATTTAACTGTTAATAAAATTAACATAATTCTTAAAAAGTTATCCCAATTCTTGCAACAGTCCCCTATTCGAACATCTTATGGGTTTTAAGGTGTATGAGTCCCCTTAAAACCGATATTAAGTGAACTGAATCGTTGCTTTGAGAGCTCTTGCATTTTAGGTTTTGTCTTTTAAATATAGAAAGTCCACTACAGGATCAGTGTTTGATTCAAGTTCATTTATGTTATCCTCCAAATTTCGTACTATGTACAATCAATGTTTTGCTTTATGTACATATGATTAATTTATTACCTTTGCATAGGTTTGATTTTAATTTTTGTAAATTTGTGCGTATTTCTCCAAACATTGTTTTTATTTTATAATTTTCTGAGCAAAAATAAAAGTTTCTTAGAGATAGCAGATATAATATCTTTTACAAAGGCATTCCAGATAGTCTTTACATTTCCATATACGAGTAAACAAGCAAACAAGAACAGTAAAATGTTTTAAGGCATAAGACATATTAACTACTGGAGCCCCTCCCTTCCGCTATAAAGAATTTCAAGGAACCGGAAGTTTGGTTTGCTATAACCGGTGGCTCGCTATATCCGACCCCCCCAAAAAAAAACGACAACAACACCATTCGATTGTCTCACAAAAGTGCACAAAAACTGAATGATGACCGCCTCCCACCACACACATATTAAAAAAAAGATTTGTCACATTTGCAATTCCCCACTTCCAAATGCCAGCCGCATGTGCTTCCAGTTACATCACGAAGCAAAGAAGTAATAAATTTCTTACAATTTGTTAGAGGAAAGTTAAACCAATTATGATTGTAGAAAGAAACGTCTTAACCTTTTTGGTGTGCTCTCTCATTTGAGAACACGTACGGTTTTATTAATGAATTTATTTGCACTGCAAGTATGCATCTAATCTCTATAAAGTCATTAAGTAATTAATGAGTAATTTTGCTTTATAATTTTAATTTACTTAAATCACTAACTTTCTGCCATAAAGAAATAAAAGAAAATCAGAAGTTGTTTACAGCATATAGTAATATTTTTACTGAAATCAGATTTTTTAGATTCCAATCAAGAAGCAATTGAAATAGAAGAATTATAGCATTCAATTAAAAAGAAAACAGGATAATTTAAATAATTTTTTATAAAAATTCGCAACTTGAAACAATGGCAGGTTAATGCTTATTTTACAGTTTTTCTGAATGGAAGTAGAAGAAGGCGGAAAAACATGGCTTATTTTAACATTTACCCGAAGTACTGCTTTAGTTGAGAATAAAACCGCCATAATTCTTGAAGACTGCTTAGTTTTACATAGTTAATTTTTAAAATGCTGGCAGTAGCTCCAAACTCTTCGTAATTGTACTTCTGACATTAGCGGACTTAAAATACGGGTATGAAGTCGATCGATATAATCAGATAAAATTTAAATAAATATTTTATAGACAAATTTACATGAAGATTTAAAATTTTAATTCTTTAATAATTAGATACATTAAAACTTATAAATGAAATTTACTCATTTATTAATTTAAGGTGGTTGGAGCTACGAATACAAAAGCAATTTATCATGAGAATGAGATAGAAATTAATGTAAACTCACGATCGGAGTAGCTTCAATGCGGGTCTTGGAAGTCCGAATTTTTAAAAAGCCACGGATGCGCTCGTTTTAATGGCAGGCAGTTACTCAGAGGACTGAGATACTAAGGGTGGGCAGAACGGGAGAATAGCCAAATAATTAACCGAAATACATAGCAAAGCGGGGGAAGGGGAGAGAGTGGCAAATGTAAACATTTAAGCAAGTCATATCCGTGTAAGGACTCATAAACAACGGCACAAAGCTCAAGTTCTTCACTCCCGACAGTTTCAGCAAAAAGCGCGTAATTTCAGGGCTGCAAAAGTAATACGATGATGAAAGCAAATGCGTATGCAATCGTTTCAAATCAGAGAGGTACCATTTAGCACTATAATTTCACACAAAGATAAACAAATTAACGAGAGAACATTAATGTTTCTTTTTAGATGAATGAAGTCAATGGTGATTTTAAAATAAACTGTAAATAAATATAACCCATTTCTTAAAATGAGAGCACAGTAATTTTTCATAGCAAATAGTAACTCAGATCTTAGAATGAAGACTAGTTAGAACGCAAATTATCAGTCTTAGGATGAAGGGTTTCGTACAACATCGCCTGAATGATATAACTTGGGTTAGCATTATAAATGGAGAAAATATCACAGATAACGATGTGGTTAGTCTTATCACTTTGACAACTGAGCCTGTCCAGAAATTACTGACGTTCAACGATAGTAGTTCCAAATGTACAACTATGCTACTACGCGCCTTCGTTAGTTTTAAATTTCCGTAAATGCGTTAACTCTGATGAAGGTGGATAGTTTTTATTGAATGAATGAACACGTATTTCATTCTACACGAACTTACATACTCCAACAGTATCGCTGCGGCGACATAAGAAACTAACTCGTCCATCAACAGAATCGAAAGAAATCCTAAAGGAAATTACAAGCATTCAGGTATCTGAACTCTTTTGTCAGTGATCACCTAACTCAGATGTTCGATGCTACAATATTACTGAAGTTGAGAATGTCTCAGAAAGAACGCATTTTACTTTAGCGCTAAAAATCGTAGAAATCGCTTTGAAATTAATTGTCGCAGACAGTAAAAGAGTGTTGGAATGTAAAAGGATAAAATATTTAATAAAACTGAAAAACTGATGATCACTTCTAACTTTACTGGCGTGCTTCAAGTAAAATGTGAAAGTTACTTTCTATCATCTTTCTCTTTTTAGTTCTAAATGCAGTTAGTTGGTAACTGATATCAACTTCAGGCATTAATAACTGGAAATTTATCTTTTTATCTGTAGAGGTATATATATATATATCAATGAGTGATTCTGAGAAATTTAAAAGCGCAGTAAACTTTGCTGCTTTGCCTAAGACTAAAGAAGATAACGATGAGGAAACAATCTACAAAACCCGTCTCATTAAAGGAAAGAAAAGGTTAACGGGCAGTATTACATAGAAAGATCAGGGAGGTTCAAAACCAGGAAATGACCTATTCTGAAAACAAACGAAAATGATAAATAAAACGAATGATAAATAAAGCGAAATGAATCTTTAGAGGGAATTCAGCACTACATTCATAACACTTATTACTAAAGGAGCATAAAGCGGCATTTTTTTTATCTAGGGTTACTCGAATGTAAAGCACACAGAAACTATCTTCATAAGAGAAAGGATTCATTCGTGGAGGAGTTTATAAGGGAAATGACTCATGTTCACATCATATATGAAAAAAACCACGAAAACCAACCATGAAGCCAGCCCGTTTGCCGGGGATCAAACTCCCAGTTCGGTCACTGGTGGAGCTTCCTTATCTAGAATAATTTTATATCCATACAACCGTTATACACAAAAAATGCCTGATGTATTTAAAATTTTCAAGCCATCACAATGTCTACCCACTACTCCAGTCATATGATATTTTTGGATTAATTTCAAAACTTGCAGACCATCTGACGAAATGGGTGTGATCACTTCTTAACGTATTGAATTCAGATTCTCCTGTAAAGAGAAGTCCGTGTCATATAAGAAGCATTCATTTCAGATGCCGTTAGGTGCATTGTTAGGTGCTGTTAGGTTCTGTCAGAGCAGAAAATAATGCTTTTTTTTTTTTTTTTTTTTTTTTGAAGTGGTCGACGCTTATGAAATACAGCATCATAAAGGTGGTGCTCCAGAGGAGAGGCAAGAATTGTAAGACGTATCCGCTCTTCTTTCGCTTAAATATCGACTACGGTTTTGCAAATGTTGGAACTAATTTTTGTCATCATCAAACTATTGTCTTTAAAAGGGTTACTTTTTATTACTTTACTTTTTTTTTAAACTTACCAAATATTTTTTGGTCATCTACTCCTAGAAGTATACTTTCTCGAGTTTGATAATGTAATATAACACACTGAAAGACTTCTGCACTTTTGAAGAGTGCAGAAGCACTTCTGTACTTTTACTTCTTTTGAAAAAAACTACTCTTCCTTTTATGAAGACATAAGCAGTTTCTCTTTCCCACTTTCCGCATCTCGAAGAAGGTGTATTTCATTTCAATATATAAACATTCACTTCCTGCAGTTATCAAAATCAAATGCGAAACACTGGATGTATGTATGGATTGGATTGGATGGATGGAAGTACGGACTGACGGAATCCCAAATTTTTTAAAACTGTCATTTGTTCTTCCCATAGTAAATTCATACTTTTATTAATTTAGTAAAAATTTTTGTTTCTTAGTTAATTATAAATATATTTTGTAAATTATGATAGTTTCATGAGAATTTTAATATTAGTAAGTAGTATACATTTTACTTTTGCTTTATTAGGCATTGAATTTATTCCATTTAAACTTGTTTTTGTGTATTTTTATTTTTTATTTTATATGAAATGAAAGCGACTGAGTACAGAAGGCATTCAGAATTTTCGTATGAACTATTATAAATAAAGAATTTAAAATGGTTCACAGTTAATTTTGGATTAACAGGAAGGTTTTCCTAGGAGGAGCGGTTCAACTGAATCTGGTCTACCTTTTCTTGATAACGTGGAAAAAACCAGAGGAACACAGGCTGGGCTGAAAAAAATCAAATTATGTGGTCTCTAAAACAAAGACTTTTGGACTGGAAATTTTAATAGGACTCTATAATATTATCCAAGTTTATATTTTGCAACTATGTAAATAATTATTTTGGTCAATATTTCAGGATTTGTATTGTTCAAATTATTTCTCCTCATTTGCTAATGCTTTAGCACTTTTTCTCTAAAAAAAAGCTTTTCTCTCACCAAGACATTTTCTTCTTGAAGTTGGTGGAATATGTGAAACATAAAATATCTATCTTTCAAATAATAAATTAATAATAGCCCTTTAAATTCCGTTTTCATTCTAAAAATAACAAAGCAATAATTTTTCTAATTAAACTCCCTACAGTTCTGGTGCGCGCTTATTGATAAAATCGGAACCCAACGACTGGACATTAATCTGTCATGTGATCTGAAATATAATTCGGTATAAAAGGTAATTGCGTCGCAACTGCCTCTCTCTTCTCTTTTCTCTTCTGCTTCATTTCGCTGCATCGCTTTGCCGTTAGCCATGCAGAGTTTACTTTTCCAATTTTCATCCATTGTTTAAGAAATGTAAGTTGTATGAAATTGTGGGGTGCTTAGCGTACACACAGTGACGTGCATTATCTAGGAATAAAATTATGTTTCCAAATCAGTGGCCACGTCTGTCTTCGAGTGTCGTCTTTCTAACTACGTCTTACTAAAGTCTCTTGAAGTTAAAATGCAGAGAACCGTTATCAGTCTGTTACTGTTTCACCAAGTCATCTTATTACACATATATATAATGTAATGAATTGTGGATAATATATGTATAAACTAATATATATATATATAATAATCCATCCACCAATGGACCATTGAGCACATCATCTCCCCCGAGAACGTCAGTAGAATCCCAGTTAAACGCACAAGCACCCAAAAATGAAACTTGAAAGAAGTAACCCATAAGCATGTAAAATGAAACCTCACAGTTTTTCAAAAAAAAAGCCCTCAAACGTGAATCATAAAAAAACGAAAATGGAAGTACCTAAAAATGAAAATGTAATTAACAAACCAAGCAATCGTTGTGATTGATCGGAAATTGGCCGACCCTTCAAGAGGAACAAACCAGCCCCCGATCAATTAACAATAATTAATAAATGCGAAGGTGTCTCGTGTTTTACTCAAGTAAGAATTATAATGCCAAACTGGAAGTTGAGCTCAAGCCAAGCAGGCAGATTCCAAGTAAGATGAATCCAATTTAATATGCCGCATAGGATTTATTATGAATGTGGCAGCCCCGTTGAGTTTATAAATTTCTTTAAAATTTGAGGCTCATAAGCTAAATAAAATCTATTAGCATCCTCTTTGAGTTCTGCTTCCCCATTACGCACCCATATGCATCTGGGGGTTCAAGAAATTTTGCTGCCTTAGGAGAAGCCTCAGATAAATTTAGCTCAGAGCCTGTCATCGTTCTTAAATCCTTCCTTACTTTTAATATCGCTATGCCACTGTTTGACAGGCTATGCGTTTTAGAAATTTTCGTAAGAAGCAGTAATAGTATACATTTTACAGCAATGAGGCTGCATTCACATCAATATAAGACATATTCTGCATTGAAGCTTTTTTGACTTATTTTTCTACGCAGTGTTAGATAATAAATTCAGCCTTCTTATGATGACTCCCCAGGTAATTCTAGGAATTTCATCTTGCTGGCTCATGTGACAAGCACGAGGGAGAAAGTAATTGTTTGGGAAATCAAAGTATGTACTGAATCGTTTCAGTTTCTTCGTGATGACAGTAATAATTTGTTTTCAACTCAACTCATGTTATAAGGAATTCTCGTCTTCCTCAGTGAATGCATTCGTGGTGGTGGCAGGTCCGACTACTAATCGGAAGTTCCGAAGTTCGAATCCCGTCGAGGACATGGTTGATTTCTTACATTTTTTGGTCCAACAGTTCTAAGTATCGGTACAGTGGCTCCTGGCTAAAAATGTTCCCTGTCGTCTGATTCCATGGTTTAAAAATGAAACAATTATAATTAATGTCTCTGATGAAACATTAATTATAATTGTTTAATTCCTGTAGCATAAAGCAATAAACACGTAGGAGGGAATTAATGACA